TATTTGTATATAGAATTTGTTTTGTTTTTAAATTAAATTATAAATGATTGAATCTAAAGTAGTAAACAAAAATGTGACAAATCATTGAATTTTAAAGACAATGAGCTAAAATCACATGCTTTGAGCATGATCAGATTCCACATTTAGTTTTTCAAAATTTACCCAAAAACACAAGATGATCCATTTAAATTTCTGTTTTTTTACGAGAAATATCACAAAAATATCCCCTGTTTAATAGGGGGGAAAAACCATACCTTCCTCAGATTTTGAGTCAAAGCCTCGTCTTCAGACTCATGCATCAGAAGGAGAGATGAGTCTCCATGATGACATTTAGACAGCGGACCACCCTGCAGCRTGAAGAATTCACGACAAGCCGTCCATCTGTGCACGACTGAGTTCATGTCCTCCCTCCAGGCTCCACTTCATCTTTAATCCTGACATCCTTTTATACTTGGAGTAGGGCTAAGTTGTTTTATTTTAATGAATAAATGAGTGATTAGGAGAAGGGGGCGAGGAAGGTCTTAGCTTTTGTCAACAGTTGTTTTAACGAGAGGTGATGGACAGACTTGGACACATCAGGACCACGTGCAGACGAGGCTGACTGACTCAGCCTTATGTCTGAACATCGATGTGTGTGGCCTGAGCCTCACTGCAAACTTTTTTTCTTTTTTCTCTCTCTCTCTTTTACAAGCTTCACCCTTTTTTCTCATTTTAAAATCTGAGATCAAAGAGAGGAGAAACAAAAGGCATGAAAAGAAGGTTAAACCCCAAACTCCACGTCCATCTTCGTCTTTTTCCACCTTCGATTTATAATTTCTCTTGTACATTTTTTTTACTTTCTCCATCAACACATTCAGATCGGTCAGAATAAGTCTGATGTTACTTATTAATTTATTTAGCTTTTTATTCATTTTAAATAATGAAACTTTGCTTAAAATCAAAATTCGCATTGAATACACTGAGACTGATTCAGTTCCTTTTTTTCTTTAAAATCTGCTGCATCGTGCTGCTGTTCTGCTACTCTTAGCTTTTAGCTACTGTTTTTCTACTTAACATATACATTGCGTTTGGCTACTTTAAGCTGTTAGCTACCTTTTTGAAGCTTTTGACTACGGTTGTAAAAAGTCACAATTTTACTGTTTTTAGCTTTACCATATTAATKTTTTTGTTACTTTAATCATCTAATAGCGCTGCTGATCTGCTCATTTAACATTAGCATTAGCTTTATTACTTTTTGATACTGGTTTGCTTATGTTCAAACGTGTTTGACAATTTTAACATTCGCTGTTTTGCTAATGTTAGCTGCTCTTTTTAGCTAATGTTCAGGTGCTTTATTGTTTTTAATGTGTTCTGATTGTAGCTTTGAGCTACTTTTTTGTCATTTTGGTTACTGTTCTGTCCCTTTTAGCTACTGTTCAGTTCCTTTTTAGTGTGTTCTGCTGGTAGGTTTTACCTAAGGTTTGGCTCATTTGAGCTCAATTTCAATTGCTTTTTATTTTTTAGTATGTTCCGCTAGTAGCTTTTAGCTAATGTTCAGTTACTTTTTAGCTTTTCTGCTAGTAGCTTTTAGCTAATATTTTGTCCCTTTTAGCTAATGTTTAGTTACTGTTTAGTGTTTAGTGTTCCGCTATTAGCTTTTAGCTACTGTTCTATTCCTTTTAGCCAATGTTCAGTTGCTTTTTAGTTTTTAGTGTGTTCTGCTAGTAGCTTTTAGCTAATGTTCAGTTACTTTTTAGCTTTTAGTGTGTTCTGCTAGTAGCTTTTAGCTAATGTTCAGTTACTTTTTAGCTTTTCTGCTAGTAGCTTTTAGTTAATATTCTGTCCCTTTTAGCTAATGTTTAGTTACTTTTTAGTGTTTAGTGTTCCACTATTAGCTTTTATCTACTGTTCTATTCCTTTTAGCCAATGTTCAGTTACTTTTTAGCTTTTAGTGTGTTCTGCTAGTAGCTTTTAGCTAATGTTCTGCCCCTTTTAGCTACTGTTAAGTGGCTTTTTAGCGTTTACTGTGTTCTGCTGGTAGTTTGTTTACATCCTCTGTGTTTCATATTTAAATCTATGTTTTGTTTTATTTTTGTTTTGTTTTGTTTTTTTTCTTGAGGGTTCCCGGTGTGAGTGTACAAAAAAAAAACAACCTCTGAACCAAAATGGCAGCCGATGACATTACACCTGTCATTTTGATTGATGGCGAGCGCTCCTTTCTTGCTGCACCTCCGAGCCTCCATAAATCACGCCATAAATCACGCAATTAGTAAAGGCAACCTCAAGAGAGACTAAAATGCAAGTTTGGAAACCTTGAAAATGAGGTCGATAAATCTCCAGAGAGCGTTCATAGCCGAACGGGGTTGTTGGTTTTAATAGGCTGCGATGTTTGTGTGATTTTTATTGATAATATAAAACATACCTGCCTGCCTGCGTGCAGCTGGATCTGACTGCAGGTTCTTACATGCAGGTAGATATTTTCAAGTGTGCAGTTATTGCTGAATGGCAWCTCTTAAAGGTGGAATCCAGGTAATAGGCACTCGTGGAAGGCACTTTGTGGTGAAGATTAGAGTTTCAACAAGCTATTGTTATCTTCTAAGTGGCAGATAAGASCGCTCGCTCTCCGACTGGGCGGGGGAAAGACTTTTTTGTTTGTTTGCAGTGGTGAAATAAATGAGGTCAACCTCTGCTGGTTGGATTACCCCGAACCATAGTTGCCTCTTGTAGTCGGAGCCACAGCCAGGTGTTTTAGCCGGAAACGGCGTGTGACACTTGAGGTTTTAGGTTCAGGCAGTGAAAACACGTTGAAGCTCCTGGAACCAGGTTGAGCTGAACAAACATTTTAGCAGCAGTCAGAGCTCTTCTCTCACCACATCCATCCATCTCTGGGCTCTGCAGACGAGGAGCCAGATGGGGAAACTGTGGGATGAGTTTTACATTTGTAACTTTGTGAAAGCTTCGCTGAACATGTGTGTTTAAAAAAAACTGTTCCCCGACCTTTTAGAGCTTGTCAAAAAAGATCATTCTCTGATGCTTTATGCATTCCTTTCAGCTGGATGATATTTATTTCTGTTGATTGAGTACTTACCGGTAGGTCTAGTCATTCTGTAGTTGACAAAACGCATGGTACAATGAGAAAAGGCCATGTGGATGAGTTGAACTATGGTGTGTCCTGTGATTAGCATCATCACATATGTCATTTATCAATTTTCTTGTTCGAAGGGTAATAGGTAGTCACAGGACTTTTAGGGATCATGGTGTGTACCCCACAGAAAGCTGAGGACAGAGTGTCTMAGGAGCGTAAAGAAACCTCCATCAACTGGGAGTCGAGACTGGGAACTCAAGAATCTGAAGTTTAAATGAAGCTGGCAAAATTCAACTTACAGCTAGCCTTTTGATACTTTTAGCTTAGTGGCTGTGTTTTAACATTTAGCTTTTAGCTATCCTTTTGATACTATTTAGCTCTTGATGGCTGTGTTGCCACATTTAGCTTTTAGCTATCCTTTTGATACTTTTAGCTTAGTGGTTGTGTTTTAACACTTAGCATTTAGCTATTCTTTTCACACTCTTTAGCTCGTGATGGCTGTGTTGCCACATTTAGCTTTTAGCTATCCTTTTGATGCTTTTAGCTGTTTGTGGCTGTGTTTTAACATTTAGCATTTAGCTATTCTTTTAATGCTTTCAGCTCTTAGTGGCTATGATGCCACGTTTAGCTGTTCCTATTCTTTTGATACTTTCAGCTCTTGGTGATTGTGTTGCAACATTTATCTTTTAGCTAACCTTTTGATACGTTTAGCTGTTAGTGTTTTAACATTTAGCTATTCTTTTAATGCTTTCAGCTCTTAGTGGCTATGATGCCACGTTTAGCTGTTCCTATTCTTTTGATACTTTCAGCTCTTGGTGATTGTGTTGCAACATTTATCTTTTAGCTGTCCTTTTGATACTTTTAGCTGTTAGTGGCTGTGTTTTAACATTTAGCTTTTAACTATCCTTTTTATACTCTTTAGCTTGTGATGGCTGTGTTGCCACATTTAGCTATCCTTTTGATACTTTTAGCTTTGAGTGGCTGTGTTTTAACATTTAGCTTTTAGCTATCCCTTTGATACTTTTAGCCGTTAGTGGCTGTGTTTTAACATTTAGCTATCCTTTTGATCCTTTCAGCTCTTAGTGGTTATGATGCTACGTTTAGCTGTTCCTGTTCTTTTAATACTTTTTATCTCTTGGTGACTGTGTTGCAACATTTATCTTTTAGCTATCTTATGATAATTTTAACTGTTAGTGTTTTAACATTTAGCTTTTAGCTATCCTTTTTATATTCTTTAGCACTTGATGGCTGTGTTGCCACATTTAGCTATCCTTTTGATACTTTTAGCTTTGAGTGGCTGTGTTTTAACATTTAGCTTTTAGCTATCCCTTTGATACTTTTAGCCGTTAGTGGCTTTGTTTTAACATTTAGCATTTAGCTATCCTTTTGATACTTTCAGCTCTTAGTGGCTATGATGCCACGTTTAGCTGTTCCTATTCTTTTGAWACTTTCAGCTCTTGGTGACTGTGTTGCAACATTTATCTTTTAGCTAACCCTTTGATAATTTTAGCTCTTAGTGGCTCTGATGCAATGGTACTGAATAGAAGATTTAAATACATTGTGGTTTAATGACTGTAACTTGTCACGAGGCAATAAATTTACTGGATGTTAACTCCYCACATCATAACAGACTAGTTAGTGTCTTTTTATGATTCACCATCATTAAGACAGTCCTGGCAGTGAAAACTTTTACTCCCTCCTGCTGGACATTAGAAAGACTACAACTACCAACCTGCATTAAAACACTTCCTATAAAACTGTGAGACAGATAAACCACATTGTTCRTTTTTGGCTGGTGTAGCCATTTATTAAATCAACCAAACACAGACTATCATTAATAAACACTGTTTTAATAAAAATACCATTAGATTATTAATTGATTTGATGAATCAGCAGGCAACRAAGTGTTCCTCTTTCTGTTATTTCTTGGAAAGGAATTTCATTTTGTTTCCTGGAGAAACAGAAAAGAAACCAGGTTTTAGAGAAATAAATGATYCAGCTGAGTTTGTTCGACCGTAACAACTCATCCTCACCCAAGGTTAACAAAAACCTGTTGACCCTCCGGTGTTCGTTCTCACGGATAGAGTCCAAATACTCCTGGACCCTCACCTCAAAGAGTCCTACGGTAAAGAAAGGCAGGATCAAAAACAACAGCTAAACAAATTTATTTAAACAAACCTGACCCTCGTCTTTCTGATCCGGTACCTCTCGGGGCCTGCCTGGAGAGCTCCCTCTCCTGGATGAAGCAGTCGAACATCTGGGTCTCCATGAAGGCCTCCAGGAAGCGGCGGACGGTCTTGGATGGGATGGCTTTCCGAAAACCGTCACGCTGGAAGGAGCAGAAAGCCGGAGAGGAGGAGGACGAGGAAGAGTAGCCATCCTCTCGCTCGCCAGTGATGAAGAGCGGATAGTGTCCCACCAACTCTACGAAGAAGCGAACGAAGCACTCGGACACGAYGGTGCTGAGTTGACCCAAGTCTGGAGAGACAAGGAGACACGTTGGTTTAACCAGTTTAATCCTGTACAGATTATAAAATGTACCTTTAGTCACAGGAGAGACGGGATTTCAAGCACAGAGGCTGGAAATTGTGTAGCTAAAATATCAAATACTGTACAGTATAGTAGTTTTTGTTCTTTTTAAAAATTTCCTTTTATTTTTGTCAGTCCAACCACTTCTGCATCATTTATTTTAGCTGTTCATATACCAAAACGTTCAGCTCCTTCAGAAGAC